TAACAACTGAAAATTAGCGCTTAAAGTCTCAAGAACCCCTATTTTTTAAAGATGGATGTGATAACCCCATTATACTATTTTAGTTTTTTCATGGCACGTGATCTCCAAGATTTTTAAAATTTCATATGTGTCTATTTATGCGAACATATTATATGTATTTCAACTATATTATGCTGCATTCGTGTATACAAACAATTTCTTGCCAGTTCGAAAAATTATTATTTATTTGCCGTCATTCCAACTGCACTTTTTCACCACCTCAATAATGAGGTGTAATAAAACGCACTTTTTGTTTGTTGCGTCACCACCAACCAACACCAGCGGTGATCACCAGTTATTTCTGTCACTATGGTGAGTGCAATTAATATTGTTTTAGATCCACAGGCGTTCAATGCCATTTCATGCACACATATATACATACATATAGTACATTTATATAGACTATATTGTGTGTACATGCAAATAAATGTATGTCTATAGTTAGCATTTAATTGTGTACCAACTGTCGCCAAGCAGACCGACTGGGCGCTTCGATATGCCACCGGTTATTGCAACTGCTGAAATTCGCATAAACACTTCTGTATTTACTTATGGTGGCTGATAATGACGAAAAGTCATAAAATTCGCAAACTTGCTTGGAAATAGTTAATATTTACAATTTGTTAAATTTATGATGTATAAATGTTTATAAGGTTGTTAAATGTGCAACAGAAGACAGCACAAATAGTGATGTGAGTAATGAAAAATAAGAAATAAAACCAAATCGCTGTCATATATACATACATATATACCTACATTGAAGGTGTTGAAGGGGGTCGTTGTAATAGATAACGACATACGATTACAAATGCGATATTTCTAATATGGAAGAATTTTAGACCTAGTACAATGTATAATTTTAATGTATGTATAACAGATCATTTCGAAGTGAGCCAGTTTTTTTTTTAAGAAAAAAATGCAGGTTTAAGATTTTTCAGGACTTTAAGCAGATTAAAAGTTCATTATTTCATATCAATATTTAACGAGGAAGAGTTATTTTGGGTAAAACTTTTTGTTATAGAACTCTTTATGACAACATTATCCTCATATGACATTCACGTAAATTTATTATTTTTTTTCCTTTCAAATAAAAAACTTCGTTTCAGTTAAAAACTACAGTTTACGGTTTCCCGAAATAAATTAGTCTATAATATTATATTACTTGTGTCATAAGATTTTTTTTTTTTTTTTGGTATACGAAGCTGAAGAAAGTATACATTAACATTCAAAGAACACAGCGAGCAAGATTTATGTGGCTTGTAGTTAAACATATAATTTTCTCAATACGCTTTAATTTTCTTCTTTTGCTTTGACAATACTGCCGACGATCGGAAACTTCGGCAGTAGCCTCTATCCTTTACGAGTTCATGCCAATTGTACATCCCCAGTGCAGGCGGATCGCTATGCACTTATTCCTTCCATTGGATGCCTGGTCCACCCAAGAGCCTTGAGTCGACGGAACTTTTCACTGGATTATCATATTCCAAGCGAACGACAGCGGATTCGTTGAATTTTTATGCACTTAACTATATCCATGTCACCAACACAACTTCTTCGATACTCATCGCTCACGCAGACGGCTGTAAATATCTTGCAAAGTACAGTTTTCTCGAATGCTCCAAGTGCAAATTTCTGCGCTCTATGATCGAACTAGAATAATGAGAGTTATAGAGCGGAATTTTTGTTCATCAAGAGCGGCTTTTTATTGCCTAACGATCCCAAAATTACACCTGTTGGCAACAGTTATTCGGCGCTTAATCTCCACGCTTAGATTAAGATCGAGATGTACAAAGTACTTAACTTTTTCAAATTTTTAGCTGCCATCAGTGAGGTAGTCCCAAAAATACGAGGAATTTTTGTATGTGCCCCAGGCCACTGTTTCCGCTATTAGCAGGTTCGAGAAGTTTTCTCTCCCGGACTTGAAATTATTTATTTGCTATCTTAACTTCCAATTTTTGTGCCATACTCTTATTAGCCAGTATCTCAAGCTCTTCGTACTCACGTCTTTATTCCTCTCTCTTGTTTTTGTTGAAAATACGTCATTTTTCCCTCCTCTTCTCGTCACAATCGGCTGCAGGGTGGCCTATATACCAAGATAGTAACGTACCGTCTTTTCCGCAATGGTATGATGAGAAAGTGAAACTATTTGTGTACGTCTTCGCGATGGGAGTTGCTTTCTTTAAACAGCATTGATGACCACGTAACGGTATTCCTTGGCTGTCTGTTGTGACTACAGCTTTCCGCATTTCGCTCCACTATGTAAGTGTTCGTATTCGTACCGTAACTGCACCAACATAGTGATCCAAGTCGATGTTACTACCTCGGATAAAACGGCGGTTTAGTACACTGAAAGCGTGCCTTCCTTCTACCACAACGTGATTAATTTCATTGCATGTACATATTTTGATGAGGGGACAGCCAAATAGCTTTTGGAATGTTTAGATGCTGAAACCTGGTGCTACAACCTGTTGTCGTGAAGACTAAATTTTAAAAACATCGACTAAAATATGGCTTCTTTGACCACCTTGGCGTTGAGATCACCGAACACGATCTTAACAACGTGGCAAAGACATTTCTCATATGCTTCTTCCAAGCGTTCGTAGAATTGCTTTTTGGTATCGCCGTCCGTTTCTTCTGTCGGTGCGTGATGAAATGTAGCCTTGTTGTCGGCTTTATTGAGCTCTTAAACCGATAGTTATAACCATGAGATCCACACGGGTTGGTTAACACATCTCACTCAAAGTTATTGACGTTGCCCGGGGTGTCCAATACAGACGCAGAAGTAGGGGTTGATTATGGTATGGCTCAACGAAAGGACGATGCTACTCTACGTTTGTGGAAATAATATTTGTATCGAAAGAGGAGCTAAACAAAATGCCAAAAAATTAATAATTTGAGGTTTGGAAATAATAATGGCAGTAGTGCAGTACATCTTGTTTACTTGAAAAGAGACGACATAGACATCCGGACGCAAAAAAACTAAATTTTTAGGTATTCTATTAATTTTATATGATTGAAATTTGGGGATATTACTTTTCTGACAACAGTATGTCTGTATGTGAAAAATGGGATGAATTTGGTCAATAATTCCTTTAGCTCTCATATGTCTAATACAAAAATTTTCGAACTTCCGGATGACTTTATACCGCATATGATAAATATATGTAAAATTTACTTACTTATAACTAGCCTAAGTTCTGTTACCACGCTTCTAAATTATATGTACAAGCATATATGTATATGTATATATATATATGTATATGCAAAAACCGATGTTTCTGCAATTAACTAGTTATTTAGAAAGACAGATACGTATATTTAATATCTGAACAAATATTTGTATATACAGATATGCATATTTGATATACACGTACCTTAGAGGTTCTTTCATTTTTATTTGCATTATCAGTTTGAAATCAAAACTCTCCTTATCGATGACTTTCAATGACTTTCACAGCGACAAACGATTGCTGCAAAATATATTTATATGGGAATATTCTGCCACTTCGTTGTGTATGTAACATTGTGTATGTGTGTCATGTCAGTAAGCAATGCATGTACGAGAAATTAATCGGCACGACCTAAAACACTGACAATGCAAAAAAATAAAGAAAAAATATTCGTTTGATTGAAACATTTTTAATCCAACATAAAACCGAAACTATTTTTAAGTAATTGATGTGGTATTTTAATATTTTAGACATTGGAGTAGCAAGACATTAATGCAAATGAAATAAATGAGACAAACAATCTTATCAGATACAACAGAAAGGTATTTTTGATGATGATTGCCTTATGTTAGGACAAAAAATATAATAAAATGTGAGCTTTTTTGATAATCTTTTTCTTAGAAAAACGGGTTCGTTTATATTTTTGCAATTCGGTTTCAAATCGTTCTAATTCGGTATAATAGAAACTATAATAAAACTGCTTTGCTAGTCTTCGAGTAGTCATGCTGAATATCAGCTGCTGCTGTGAATATCAGAGAATTATATCCATCACCTTTTCTGAAGAGTAGTCATTGCTTGTTCGTCCCCGGTGTGTACCAGTGTGTACCAGTGGATAAATATTTGCCGACGGTCATGAAACGAATACTCTTCGGATTGCGAATTGTGCTTAAACAGTGTCAAACACTGCTGCAAAGAACAAATGCGGTACGAATCGCGCTGAAAGCTCTCTCTTGCTCAAGTGTATTTTGAAATGTTTACAGCATTGTTGTCACATTGTCTTTTGTTGTTGCGGTTTTCGGGGCATTTGGGCATGGCTGATCAAAAAGGACTAGCGTTACATCAATTTTAGACGATCACTATGTAAACATAATAATCACCCAAGCGCTCTTCAATTTCACTACATCCGATATCCCATCCAAAAATATTAAATCACGAACTCATATTGCCTTTTCCGTTTTTCCACAATTTGCTAAGCCTAAGTGAGCAAAACAGCGGTCAAAACAAAACTATGAGACCAATTCGGCAAATGAGTTCAAACATTTGGCAATAGGAGTCTGCAAAGACATTCGAAGGGACTCAGATGCAGAAGAGTTGTGAAATTGTGCCTTTGCTTTTTAAAAACCCGTTTGTTTATTTTTTAGAACTGAATTTTTGTTTTATGTATTACTTAAAATACATAAGTATATAGACGAAATAGCTAAACCAAAACCTGCTTATTATATCCATTAGTACAACACAATAACAAAGAAATATATTTGAAATATGTCTACTATACATACAAATATAGAGGTACTCTTTTCAATAGCCTTTTTTTGGCAGATCACGCGTGAGTTGGATCGAGCTCTTCTGTTATTTTGGTGTAGTATTGTTGAGCATTTCATCATGGAAAGACTTACGCCTGAACAACTTTTATAATTAATTCAACTTTATTACGAAAATTTACGTTCACGAGGATGTAATTCGCACGCTTCGCTCAACTTATGGTTAACATAGTCGGCCTACTGAGCTTACCATTAGCAACACCATTAGCCATCTTGAGGCACAGCATTCATTATTGGATAATATTCGACCGAATAGACTACATCCAGCATGCAGTGAAGAAAATAAAGTAGCTGTAGCTGAGAGTGCACACAAAGATCGTGAATAGTCGATTCGACGCCGTTCCTACAATTCGGACTAACGTATGGAAATACTTGGTGCCTTTTACGTCGATATCTGAAATTGAAAGCGTACAAAATACAGCTTGTGCAAGAACTGAAGTTGCTCGACCTTCCTGAGCGACATCGCTCAAGCAGAGCCGACTTTTTCGAGTCAAATTTTGTTCAGCGATGAGGCTCACTCCTGAATCAATGCATATGCAAACACACAAAATTGCCGCATTTAGGACGAAGAGCAACTTGTAGAGGACTCATCGGTCCATATTTCTTCAAAAAGGATGTCGGTGAGAACGTAACCGTTATTTCTACATAATAACTGACTATTTGACGTCTGAAATTTCGCTGACATTTCGGTTGAACAAGACGGCGCCACTTCCCCCACATCGCATCAATCAATGGATTTTTTGAGAGATCACTTCGAGACCAGATAATTTTACGTTTTAGGAAGGTTGATTGGCCACCAAGATCGTGTGATATCACACCGTTAAACTTTTTTCTGTGGGGATATGTAAAGTCTAAAGTCGATGCGTAGAATCTCGCTTCGATTCAGGCCTTGGAGCAAAACATCATGCGTGATATTGCCAGTTACCAGTCGAAACGCTCGAACGGGCCATTGAAAATTGAACTCATCTGAAATATAGCCGTGGCCAACATTAGAAACAGATAATCTTCATAAAATGAAAATTTTCTTTCGAATGATAATAAACGTTCTCCATTATATGTGAAGGTTATGTTTTTTTCGTTAAAAAAGTAGGAAACCTCGAATTGGATAACACTTTATATTATGTATGCATATGATTTTTATCCCTAGACCTAGATTGATCGTAGATTTTTCAGTTTTGAAAATAGAAAAAGGCGAATATAGTGGCTCCTTTCGTTGGCCAAAAGTCAGTCACAATCATACTAGAAAGTGACGCCGCATTATCGTGTGAAAAAGCCTTGAACCTCCCGTCCACAGAAGTGGTACATAGTTTGTGAGCCATTCTGTCATGTAGATGACTTTTAATTGTCAAGTAGTATTTCATATAAACCATTTGATCCTGTAGATCGAACCACAATACTCAAAATCAAAGCAAATATCACCATGTGGACCAACCCGAGTTAAATTTGTTTATACATTATAATCCCGTTGAAACAAATACGATCACTTCGGCAACATTACTCAAAACCACTTAGAAATATTTTTATTACTGTGAAATACAAACCATTAGGCATGGCTATATCAACTAAGTTCGCTATTCTAATTATTTCGGTTCAATACTTGCAGAGGCAAAGAATAACTCCGGCAAACAAATATTAAATTAGTTCAGATTCTAGTAAGGATTGATTACGTTACATAAACTTCAACCACGTTAGAACCTAGAGCTGTTTCTCAAATTTTCTTTCATTATTTTTTGTAAAAGCGTCTGAATGCTAAACAAATGTGACCTCTGTCAGAGCTTATGAACCTTTTAAGGGTATTAGTAGACTCAACATTTTTTTCTTCTTTTTATGGGGAACGCACGGTTTGACAGCAACATAACTAACCATGTTATTGGTTTCTACCTTTGTTGATTTTACCATTTGCACACTAGCACACCATTCAATCAATGGCAAACACTTGGCGTTTCCACCGGAAACAAGCAATGCGCACAAAGTGCGTGTAAATAGTCGGATCAACGGCGCTTTGGCTATGTATCTGTACCAAAGATGAAGAAGATGAAGGAGTACTGACTACCAGTGCTTGTTTGCCAAGCTAATTAAGGACAAACATAGCGAAGCGAATGCGAGGCAAGGCAAGCGCATGTGAATCCGCGCCATGAAATCGTCACAACATTATTGCGATTGTCAGTCGGTGTTAGTAGTATGTCGCCATTTACTGTTGCTTTGCTGCCACTTACCCACCACTGAACGCGCCCTTCCGCTCCTTCCGTTTTTGCGGGTTGCCTCGGCGTTGCTCTTTTGCCTTTCCTCTTTACTGCAGTTGCCGTTGCAATTGTTTTTCAATTTTCCGCCTTATTACACAGCGTTTAAAATTTTTATTTCAACACCAACGCCGAATTGACGTATCACGGAATGCCTGCTAGGCAACGTGGCGTTATGTCGGCTGTGGGTAGGTCACGTGACCGACTGGTTGCTAGTATGATGACACAGCACTGTTGACAGTTGATGCTCCTGCGCTTCCACAACTTCTTCGTTGTTTCTTTTTTCGTTGCAATTTCCATGCCACGTGTTATCTATCACCGTGCAACAGTGCCAATACACAGCGACACCAACACACGTCGAGGCGTCGAGTCGTCGAGGAGGAGAAGGAAGGAGGCTTTTAGTCGCAAGTGGGGGAGGCGTGCGCTTGTGAAATCATCTGCAAATATTTTCGTTTCGTTAGTTTCGTGTGATGGATGCGATTTCGAATGCCTCAGGATGTGCACAAGTGTCAAACGACGTCGTTGTTGTTCATTCTTGTTGTTACTCCTGCAGGTTGCTGCAAACGTTGGTGCGGTTTATAGGTGTGTGTGTGTGTGTGTGTGTCTGCATTGGCTGCTGGTGGAAACCAATTCAGTCATCTTGCGCACGTTAAGTGGAAACGAATACAGCGTCTACAAGCACTCATACAAACATACAAACAAACCTATATATGTGTGAGTATGTACTCATATCCTCTGCTTTTCCAGCATGCAACGTTGAGAGCGAGTGTTTTGTATATTTGTTTTCGGTCACGTGTCGCATTCTTCATGTGCCGCTTTCGTTTTGTCTGCTAATCTATCAAAATAGAAAAACAATTGGAAGGCGTTGCAATCTGTGTTAAATACTCTTCGAGCCAAGGGATGCGGGCAGGAAATGCGACTTCTTTAACTCTTGGTAGCTAATTCGATATGTTCAAGCGGCTTGTGGTTTGCTTGAATTTCAGCCGACTTTGTTATAACACAAAATGGTATTCATATTTAATTCGATAAATTTAAGTTGATCCATCTAATCGGATATACATATAGTACAAAAATAACACCAATGTATTTTTAAGGGTCATCATTAGATTGAAGATTGTTGTGTCTACTGAACGACATTAATATCGTTTGCTAAGGTTAAAAATTAGATAATAAAGTACTTAATTAATTTCTAGGTACCAGGACGAGGCCTTTTGTTTGTACGAGGAAGCATTGAAAGCCGGAATGCGCAATTTTATTCCACTAAACCTAACCTACGCCCAACTCAAATCTCTCCCATGGAACCACCGGATTAAGTAGCTGACAGCTTTCCATTTACCAGAGGACAAACACATGTGTTCCCTCAAATTTTCTACCAAACAAACTATCGGTAAGTGAAGTTTTTAACTTTTCCTTTACATATGAAAATGAGGGTATTGAAAAAATACGAGTCCTTTATGCACTTTGTACACTGCGGGTAGTTCGGACTAAGATCGTGATGAAATCGGAACAGATATGCAGTTTCTAAAGCATCCTTGTCCACTCAGTTTTTGGGTTAGGTGAAAGTCTAGGTCCCCATGTTGTCTATCTATGCACGAATGGATGTCCGCGATTAGCCCAAGAGTCCACCGTGCTTTGGTTGTGGTCTGCCACCACTGCCACATTATGATTCTTTTGGTTCTCTCATCTTTTTTTACGACTACAAGCGGCTCTGATCTCGCGATCTCGTCTCTCTAAAGTCAAAGGGCGTTATACTAGCTAGAACTTCGGTACCGTCACTTGATATCGTTCAAAGCACATTCGGGTAAGGGTAGTAATTTTTTCAAGCTCATCGGCGTTGTAGGTTTCCACGATTCCGCTGTAGCCAGGCACTCAAACAAGTTTCATATTCAAGTGAGGTAATGTGCTCTATGACTAGTATTGAGCTCTCTGTCAGCGAGCTTAATAGCTCTCAATATTTAGTGGTAAATCATCAATAGATCTTTATGAATCTTATGCACAAATGCAGTTACTTTAAAACCGTGCCACGACAAAAGATTACAAAATTGGAAAAGTCGAAAGTTCAAAGCGGTAAAACCAAGGACGTTGTTCTGTTATAAACTGGACCGATCTCATAAGTTCTGTAATGATTTAAATCATTTTATGATTTCATATTCATCAATAGGAATATATTCTTTTCTTTGAGGATAATGCGAGGTTAAAACATATACTTTACTCCTGTGGCCTCGAATTATTACGGAGCTGATAACATCTTTTAACGATGACTCATATTCGCACATTAAAAACATGTTTGAAAATATATAAAAAGCTAAGGACTGCTAAAAGACGAGTTTGCTGCAGTATCTATTCACATTTCCATGTCATGGCAGTTAATAAAGGTATAAAAGCATATAGATCGTTTAAGGTTAGAACAGTCTCTGGTGATAAAAAAATTAAGAAAAAAAAAATTATTTGGTGGAATTTTAAAAAAAAAAAAATTTTCCGTGTCCAGTCCCCTGTTCTGTCGAAACGTTCGAGTCAGAAGCTATATTTTGAAAATCGGTCATAAACTGTCGAATTTTAATTAAAAAACAAGAAAAAACGATAACTTCGGTTGCACCGACCCTTCACAGGTGCATTTCTGTTAGTAACTATGTGTTCAGTTTGTAAGGAAGCTATATGCTATAGTAATCCGTTCCGAACAATTTTTTTGTAGATTATATTGTTACCTTAAGCAGTAATCCATGCCAAATTTCGTGACGATATGACGTCAAATGCGAAACTTTTCCATACAAGCCCTTGATTCCGATCGGTCGGCGTGTATGGCAGCTATATGATGAGCCGAACTGAACTTTTTCTGCTGATATTGCATTATTTTCATAAATAATAACTCATACCCAATTTCGTGAAGATATATCGTCAAATGAGGAAGTTTTCCATGTAAGCATTTGATTCCGATCATTCAGTTTGTATGGCAGCTATATGCTATAGTTAACCGATCTAAACAATTTCTTCGAAGATTACATTGTTGATTAAAAAAATAATCTCTGTCAACTTTTGTGAAAATACATTGTGAAAGGGGAAAGTTGTTCATACAAGAACGTGATTCCGATCGTTCAGTTTGTATGGCAGCTATATGTTATAGTTGTCCGATATCGGCAGTTCCGACAAATGAGCAGCTTTTTGAAGAGAAAATGATGTTTGCAAAATTTCAAAACGATATCTTAAAAACTGAGGGACTAGTTCGTATATATGCAGACAGACGGACATGGCTAAATCGACTCAGCTCGACATGTTGATCATTTATTTATATACCTTATAATGTCTCCGACCCTTCCTTCTGGGTATTACAAACTTCGTGACAAATTTCATATACTCTCTTCAGGCTATAATGAATGAATTGTTTGTAGTGAGTAAGTATTTTTGATTGGTACAAATTATTCATAGAGGGTCGAGACGCTTTGATGATGAACCACGTCCAGAACGGTCATCAACATCAACTGACGATCCACACGACAATATAAAGAGAAATTGATACTTGAGAATCGGCGATTTATAGCCAGATATTTCACTGGCATTGTTGGAATATCGGAAGGATCAGTGAAAACCATTTTGAAAGATCATTTTGCCTAAGAAAATTGAAAGCACGATTGTTTGCAAGATTTGTAAATTTGTTCGAAAAACAGTGTCGCCTTAACGTAACTGAACCAACGCTTTCCAACCACCAATATATAATATCATGAAACATATTCAGGGGTGTTGTGAAATCCAAGGCAGAATTGCTGTCAGAATTGCAAACCAATTCTGATTTTAAATGGTGTTACAGAATCTGATTGGATTTTTGTCTTTTCGAACATACGCAGAACCAATAATCGAATCAGCTAATATTATGACAAATATTGTGAATGCAATTTGAATAAAATTTGAAATGAGTTTCCTTTTATTAAAGGAAGAAAGAAATAAAAAAATTAAACGTAAAATATTAAGGGATCATATTAACCCACTTGATGATCCAGGAGAATCGTAAGTAGAAATTATCTTTTATTTACTTGTGTGTTACTTTATGCGCTTACTTTGCAGATTCATATCACATAATCGGCTGAATAAAGACGCATTTATTATGGTGTTAAATATCATAGAACCACATTTGCAGCCCTCGACTACTCGTCTTCCACCGATAATTCAATTTTTCAGCAACACTGCGTTTTTTAGCATAAGGGGCTTACCAACGGGGAGTAGGACGTGATTCTTGTATCACTTTGGCAAGAAGCACGGTGACGCAGATTTTAACAAAAGTGATGTGCCTCTTAGAGAATTACATTTGCGGTCAGTGGGTAAAACTTTCTATGGATGAAAGCGAAAAATTGATTTCAAGAAATCACTTTTTTGAAAAGTACAAAATACACGGAATAGTAGGTTGTATAGATGGAACACATATAAATATAATAAAACCACCAGATAATGAGCATTTATATCCGTATATTAACAGAAAGGCATATTTTAGCATAAATGGGATGATAGTAAGTACAAACAATAAATATTCAAACATATTTATATTTATAAAACTTATTAATTATGTATATGTATTTATTTTTTCAAAATATTTGTGACGAAGATATGCAAATACGTGCCGTTGATGCGCGATATCCCGGATCAAGTCATGACGCTTTCATCTGGGGTATGAGTCATGCTAAACAATATTTCCGTACACAGTATGAGAGTGGGCAGCGTTCATTGAGGTTGCTGGGCGATTGCGGCTACGGAATTGAACTATTTTTGTTAATACCTTACAGAGATCCACAGTTCAACTCAAAGGAGCATAAGTTTAACATAGCACATACGGCTGCACGGAATATCGTGGAATGGGCAATCGGAGTTTTAAAAAGCCGTTTCCGCTGTTTAATGTCCACATTACATTATCGCTCTGAAAAGCTGGTCATAATTGTAAATGTCTGTTGTGCCTTACACAACATCTGCAGACTATATAATCAGAATATAATCAGGATGTAGTAATTCTTGCAAATTAGACTGACGATGACAATTTTTTTTTAAATCTGATAATGGTTCAATACAGAAAGAAGGCCGGAGAATAAGAGATGAAATAGCAAATACTTTGTAATTTAATGGATTTATTTCTCAATTCTAAATATAACAGTCTTCATGACTAAACTAAAATCAGTCTTATATTATAAATTCAGGTACTTTAAGTATATTTCACAACGAGGATCTTTAATTAAATAATATACTTATTAATTAATCTTTTTTTTTTGTTATATTGTCTCTTGTGTTCAAACTTGAGAATTTCGAGGTTTAGTTGTTCTTTTGTAATCTCATTTTTTTTCTACAATAGCTTTAAGCAATTGAGTACTTATACTTACAAACTCATCTTTTAATTCAGTAATAGCTCTGCCAACAGTTTTATTATCATTCTCTATTGCTTCGTATATACGCCTCAAGCTGCTAGCATTTTTAGATTGCAGTTCTATTATCTGATCGAATTTTTTCAATATATTTCAATTTTTTTTATCTTCCTCATCTAAAAATCTTTTTAAGCGATCTGCCGTACTCTCTAATTTTTGCCTTCTAGGTACACTAACATTTATTTCGGGTTGCCCTTGTGACGTGGAGGGTATATCGTCGGCATCTTTTTGTATATTGGATACATTATAACTTAAATTTATATTTTGTTGCTCTGGTGATGAGGTAGACAAATCTACATTCACCCCTGCAATTGTTATATTTATATTCTCATTGACGGGTTGGGCGCCAAGAGAAACGCCTGGTATGCCTTCTCTAGTTTGTGAAATGCCACAAAGACGCACAATAGTTTCTTCGTTTGGAGTGAACTGATATTTAGAAAATGGGCCACCTCCTGTTGCTCGACTCTCAATTTTGTTCGGAGCTAATTTTCTTTTGATTTCGCTCTTGCACTCAGTTATAACCTATAGAAATCAGTTTGTTTTAATTGCAGTTTAATTTTCACTGAAATTTACCTACCTTTTTCCACCCGTTTACAACTTTGTGTGGAGGACCTGCAGCATTAAGGGATTCAGTTAATTCCTGCCATAACGAATCTATTGTCGGTTTATTGCGTTTCGTATATTCTCTCATGATATCTGGACTTTTTTCCATAAATTCAATTATGRTCGTATTTTGCGTTCTGTTCTTATGTTTTCCCCTACAAAAATAAAGCTAATTACTTCGTAACAATAAAATAAATAAATTTCTTAACTTACATTTTGTCAATCGTCTAACAACACACAGAAATAATATATAAACTGAATATTCAAATCTGTTGGCGATTATCTTCTTGTTTTATTTCTGACAGCAAAACCGATAGAATTGGTTTCGATGACACCCAAAACCGATACAAATTCTGTTTCGAACATCAAACCAATAATACCTGAATTCATGACACCTACTACTTTTTTTGATCGGTATCAACTCTGATTCTGACAACTATCAGATTCCACAACACCCCTGATTATTACTGTCGATAAATCTTAAATCTATGTTTACGACCTGGAAACAAACGATCAATCAAACGAATTTTGTGGCAAAGGTGAGCCAAAAGCGAAAAAACCACCGTATCGCCTGATTTAGCTCCATATGACTTCTGGTTAAACAGCAAACTCAAACGACCGCTCCGGGGTAACCGTTTTGAGTCAATTGAAGACAATAACTGTGTGGTATGACCTGTGCAACTAATATTGATATAATACAAAGGTTCAAATCGAAAATGCTTAGAACAAACACTTGTTCGCCATGATCTTGGTATTTCCAAGGTAAAGAAATAAGAGAAAGTTGAGCAGAATGAAATATGTATCTAAATTCCGAGATCCCCCAAGCCCATTGCCTAGGACTTTAGTACATTCCTGGTAACGAACACAAATAGATTTAAGATTTTATAAGTTATTGTTAGTCTTTTAAAATAACGGCAGATTCAATAAACAAAAAAATATTGAGAAAAATATAAAAATTGATTACACTTACTAACGTAAAAAAAAAAAAAACATAAAAGAAAGCAAGCCAATAAATAAAGACAACAGTTGTCTCCATTGTATTCGCCACAGCCAACGACAAAAAGGATAACAAATGCAAAAGCGTGCACGAAATCAAATCTAGCTGTGTAAGCGCATAATTACGAAATTGTTTATACAGGAAAGTGGTGGGTCACGTGTCGTACTTAATTCTCAAGGGAAACACATCATATTGGCTAAACAGAAAACATATTGGGAAAGATGCGCAATTATTACATTCGAAATGGAATGATGAATGCAACTGAGAAGCAGCAACCAAATTTCTCAGTTCTCTTATAAATATCTAAGCTTTTTAGGTACTCCTTTATTTATGCATCAGATTAAGGGTTACGCATTTTTTTAAATGTAAATATGTATATATGTTGTTTCATAGATTTTTTTTTACGCACAGCAGTTCTATATACATATGTATTAGCAGTGCGAACGCATTTTCTTCGCTGTTTTTTTTTTTTTTTTATGCAACTTCTATTGGCATATCGCTGCCGTAAGGCAATTACATGAAATCAATCAATAATCGTATAAATAAATATTTTCATTGACATTAACAACGAGACGCCATTTAAACAGAAGTCAAACAAAATGCGTAGCGAAATAAAATAAAACAATATTTGTAAGTTTAGATTACAATTTATTGACTTAAAGTGGTGCAATAAAAATTGCACGCAAGTATTTATGTTCATATGCACCTAGGCATATACTGCTGTGTACATGCATATGTATGTATAGAAAATAATATTGTCCATTGTAAATTATTAAATGTGTTTATTGATGCTTATTTACCATTTGACTGTGTTGTCACAATTGTTTAATTTTTTTAGCGTCATTTCTCCAGTTGCTGGAAGACATTGTCAGTTGATGACGCACAGTATTGCATGGCTAGTGAAAAATTAAATATGAAATAAATTTCAACTAAACACAATTTAAAAATATTGATGAAAATAAATTATTAACAATCTAATACTAGAAGCAAGATTCCTTGAAAAAAGTTGCTAAATTCCGAGCATAAGAATGAATGAAAGACCACAAAAGCTTGGGTTAGATTTGTTAAGGGGTTACATGGGTTTACGGTTTCAAAAAGTCGATTTTTTTATTTTCTTCATTGAATCTTGAAAAAATTTTCAAGTTTATCCGAGTAATGTTTGCGAAGATACAGCTATGAGACTTGTGCGCGCGAGGCTAGCTATGCTAAGTGCGCCGTCTTTAACGAGTTTTTCTGAAAGCTCTGATTTTGAAGTCGGTTGACAAGATTTCTAGAGAACTACGCAACCGATCTTCATGCAACTTTACACAGGTCCTTGAGATGCATTTATTAAAGGCACGAATGATTTTTTTCGATTATCACTGAATTTTTTTTTTTTTTTTTTTTTTTTTTTTTTTTTTTTTTTTGGAAATATCTGGCAAAACTCAAATTTTCCAAGTTTCAAGTTAAGGTTTTGATATTTAATTTAATTTAATAAAATATTTTATTTTTATAATAGAAGAAAGAAGAAAGAAGCAAGTGGCTCGTTTTATGAAAATTGTGAAACAAAATAAAAGTAATTGAATTAAATGCAATTTTATACAGTTATTAAATGAAAATGGTAGGTCTCGCGAGTGGCATTTTTTCAATCTTCATGTTGTAAACTACCGTTCAACAGTTGAATCACAAATATATTTCCATGATGCTTCAAACGGAAGAGGTGACGTGTACTAAATCCTTCCATTGTTTATTTTACTCTTAGTAAACACCATTAGATCCCGGTGGAGGACATCGTTTCTCACATAGAAAGGAGAGCCCACTATGGTCCGTAGAACATTACTTTAAACAGCTTCAATTTCTTCAAAATTCCATACGTCCAGATTAGCCTAAGTATTATCTTAGAAATTAGCAACTTATTCTTCAGACTGAGGCCTGATCTTGGCCTAAGTAGCCAGTGTAGCTGGCCTCTGCTGTTTCAAATTGGTGGGTAACTAGATGTCAGCTTATTGCTTTCCGAAGATTGTCTACTGAATATCTTTGTAAGGCAGAAACCAGAAACACCTCTAGGTGCTTGCTACGCAATTTTCAGAGATTTTTATTTATTGAATAAAATTTCTCTTCGACAAAACTTCATGAAAACTGGTTTTTTTCTGAATTCCAAGCGGTTACAACTCCTCAATAAAGTTTAGACGAATGTACTTGTTAAAAAAATGAGATAATTTTACATTTTGAGCAGATATAGCAGATATTATGAATGCACTCTACGGATTTCTAAAGCTAATTCCATCATCTAAAGACTTAAGAAAGCCTTAGCATTAATTTTCAGGAAAAAAAACGACATTGAAATTTTTATCATCGATGATCCATAAGACGAACTTTAAGTCGCTCGGACAGATGATAACTAATTCATCTCGGTGACATTGGGCTAAGGATAAATGTCAATTTTTTATATAAAATTTGTATATTTCTATGTATAACTGGTGCAACATTATTACTTTGCCTACCTAAACACTGTGGCTTCTTCAAACGATGAGACGTTTCCTGTAACAGCAATACAGTCATGCGGTTACACATCACGGCCAATTAATAGCAACAGTTTTTCAACGTGAAGATACCAACTAAACTTTCTTTCTCATATGGCTACGAATATAGGTAAATCCATATATGCATATACATACCTAACATATATACATATGTATATGTATATAGATATTTCAACACAGTTTTCAGAGTTTAAACTGATCGTTGTGATGCTAACATCACGGTGTTATGGTTGTGTTTACCACACACTTTTATTGTGGCTTTCAGAACACTCTTGTAGAGCCACATTTCGCTCAAGGCTTAATTATAAGCCAGTTTGCTTTAGCAGGGATTTCATTGCATTATAAACACTTATTTTTTCGCCATGTTTGCCAACAGCTAGACCACCATTTTATTTGATTAGATATCGTTGTGATTGTGATTCGTGTTATGACCGCGCCTCTGCTAGGCATATTTGTTTATTATAAAAAATCGACGGAATTGCAATGCGAATATATAGTTATGTTGGTGTATAGCGGGAATTTTTAGATAAATTTCTAGTTGCATTTTTGCGTTCTCGCTTGTGATTCGCAAAATATATAGCCTCTAATCGAAGTTATCGTGCTGGCGCCATTACTGCAGTGGCGCCACAAAAACCAATCGCTATCGCGTTACACATTGTTGTTGTTATTGACAATGTCGAGCCTGAGTACTCATTGCGACAGGCGTAGGCGCCAATCGCTGGCGTTTGCAGGGAATGCACCCTTATGGTGGTTCCATTTTCCTATGCCATTTGTGTAAATACTTGCTTACATACATACATGCATACTCTAAATCAATATGTGTGTGATTATGTGAGTTAAGCTTTATTGAACGGCTTACTAATAAGTACACATTTATCTAGAATACGAACATATATTTTTATATATACAATCTATTTGCTTAAAGTTGTACTCCTGTACTCCTGACCTATTTAAAATTACGTAGTTTCTTTGTCCTACTTACCTCAGTTACAAGTTCTTTATTCATTTTACAATTTTAAGAACAGATCTTCAAAAAGCATCATTCTTCTTCTTTATTGGCGTTGACACCGTTTACGCGGTTACAGCCGAGTTTACAACAGCGTGCCAGTCATTCTTCCTTTTCGTTGTTTGCGCCAATTAGACTTTCCGTGTGTATAAATGGACCTCGAACTCAACCAAGAGGTTAGTGTGTCCATTCCACACTGCCAATTTGTACTGAAAATGCTTAGCATTCTCAGTGCGCTGATCAACGCATTGATTTGATCCGCTGTGCTTTTGAGCGCCGTGGGGTAAGGCTGTCGTCAGTAGGTACCCACGTTAGACACACACCGAACATTTCCATGTGTAGCTAAGCGCCTGGACATGACCTAACCAGCATAGCCGTTGTCTTTTACATACAGTTCATCGTTCCATCGAATGCGAAATTCGCCGTTGCCAACGTGCAAGGGACCAGAAATTTTCCGCAGAACATTTCTCCCGAAAATTCGTAACGCCGACTCATCAGATGTTGTTGTAGAGATGATGGGTGACTTGTAATGTGCGGTCTTTGTTCTCAATTGCCAACTAGGTCCGAAGTAGCAACTGTGGGCA